GAGATCGCGAGAAGCGAATGACAACTGGAGAATAGCGTCGCGTGCAGGCCTTATATGCTCTCAGGTAAGGGGGTGGGGCCTTACCTGGCATTGGCTGCGCGCTTCTGTCTGTCTAGCCAGACTTGGTGCAATTGGATGCTTCTGCAGAGGTCAGGTACGGATGCCCTTCCCATAGGTGGATCTCGAACATGAGATGATGAAAGAGAACCCGCCCAGTTGCTACTCAAAACTAGCCCAAAACTAGCCCAATTGCCTTTCGAGGGGGGTTCCCCAGTAAAAAACAAAAACAAAAAAAACATCATGTTCCGGGGGGTAGTTTTTCGGCGGGGTTCTTCCGGTAAAATTTGCATGCGTTATTGGGGTCGCTTCAACCCGCGGACCTGAAAAACAACCCACACCAACAGTGTTAAAGTAGCCCAATTCCGCGGGGAAAACCACGGACTTGGCAACACTGAGGTGATGTAAAAGAGGAAAGCCGGCATTTGGACCAAAGCACTGTGAGGCAAGTTAGGGGAGACTCAAAATGTTTCTAAACTTAAAACGCATTTTTGCCCCGTTTGCGTTTGTGTTGTTTTACTACTTACAAAGTTATTTAAAGGTGACATATCAAGAAAATCGGACTTTTCCAGGTTTTAAGTGCTATAATCAGGTCCCCAGTGCATCTACCAACCAAGGAAACATGAAATAAATTAACCCAGTAACTTTGTTTTGGTAAGCCTTTTTCTGCAAGCGTCTGAAAAAAACGAGCGCGTCTGATTTTGCTCCCCTAGTGACATTGCAAAGTGATATAATTTCATTATAATATTACCGCTCCTTAATCTGTAAATTTCCACCCACAGCGCCGTCATTTTGATTTCGCAAGCGACAACGGTGTACCAGTTCCATGCCATGGCGAAAGTTTGAGCAAAGCATGCTAACTTCTGTCTTTGGCTGCACAGACGAACACAGAACACTGTTTAGAGTCCCAGCCTCAGAGGAGACAAGACAGCAGTGGATTTATTGATTTATTTACTGTATATTGCTGCTGCCACACAGATCTAAAATAAA